CCATACCCTAGCTCCTTCTCTGAGCCCAGCCTCCATCTCCCGGCGATCTCTCGCACCTGCCTCTCCACCTCCCGAAGCTGCGGCGCTGCCTGCGGGGTGACAGCAAGATTGAGCCCGTCAGCCCCAACTTGGCACGGCACCTTGCAGCATGGACGGGTAGAGCAGTCGCCAGATTGATTGCTACCTGCACTTTTCTCCCCATCCATGCTCTGTCTGCTTCTTTCTGTTGCGTCTCCCTGTCCCATTTGCTTCTTAGTTCGGGAGGTCAGAGGTGGGAGAGGAGGAGGAATCCTGCTACGGGAGGGTGTCCTTGGTGTAGGAAGCAGCGGCGGAGGTGGTGGGGCGGTCGTGGCCATGGCGAAGGAGACCGAATTCTATGACTGCGGCGGTCGCCTTCTTGCTTCTTGCTAATTCCTAGCACTCTGCTCGGAGAGCCGGCGCTGATTTGGGCTTTCTTTTTTCGTTCATTGATCCTCAGCCACGGCAGGTGCATCCTGAGAAGAACCCAAATGATCGACAAGCGGCCGAGAAATTCCTACTGCTCAAGTTGGTTTCTTGGATTGTACGATTAAATTCAGCTGCTCTGTCTGACTAGCAGAGCTTCTTGTGGATTTTTGCAGGGACCGATCCAAGCTGCTACTGCGGCGGGAGGAGAAGAAAGCTGATGGCGGTGACCGGCGAAGGGGTCAGGAAAGTGGGACCTGAAGCGGCCGAGGGAGCAGTCCATCTCCGTGACTAAAATCGTGATGGAGTTGTTTGGTTCGTAGCTGAAATCGTGACGGAGTGGTTTATTTCGAATTTTTCAAAATTTCTGGCACGCAGCAGGTTTCATAAAATGTACGCAACAGGTTTATTTTTTTAATACTACATATTTACAATGGTATGGTTCCAATTACCCTAAAAATAATAGGGTCTGACATACGTACATAGCTACGAGATTAAATATATGCAACTAATTATGTGCAAGATAGAGCACTCATTATTCGATCGAACGTTTGTACTAAGTCATGATTCGAGATGTATTTTAACGTTAAGATGAGGCCACTACATACTGCTTTTTTATAATGCTGCCATTAATTTGCAAGTTGGGCACAATTTGCATGGTCCTTTAATTTTCTTTCGTTCAACAAACGTTATGAAACGAGCAGAATGGTGCACTTGGACGATTGTTTGGTTTTTAATAGAACTATTCTTCCTTCCAGTACCCTACATTTTACGAAGATAAAGTGAGTATGTAACGTTGGTGACGCTTTAAGATTAGAATGAGATGCTTGATTTGACTATGCCTCATGCACATGATCGACCGCACTGAGAAAAGCTAGCAGAATGATCGACAATCATTTCCCTTGAAATTGAAGCTAACTAATTAAAGTCGTAGTACATAAATAAACAAAATAAATGCAACTAGCTAGTACATTTTAGCAGCATAAAAAAGGAAAAAGAAAAAGAATGACGGCGTGAGCGTTCCCTGCGATGACGAGGGCATGGCGACGTCATGGCCTCTTGGGTTTTCAGTTGTAAAAGCAGCAGGGAAAGAAAGGAGCCGCGCGTGAAAGTGAAAGGGCAGTCAGGCAATTGGAGCTGAAATATATATTTGCATCGGCTTCATGGTTTACCTCGCATTGATGGATCTAGAAAGTGACCTATATCTACAATTAAATTTTCATAGCCTTAAAGACATTAAATTTCCTAATTTAAAGATGAGAAGGCAATGTTGAAGAAGGATTGCCTACAAAGTTGGACTAATTTGAGCTCCAAGTTGAAAATTAAAATCTATGGATTAAAAAAATAAGAGTAAATTGTATTGGTGGTACACAAACTTATTAGGTGGATGCAAGTTAGTACATAAACTTGTAAAAAGCTCGTTTCAGTACACGAACTTGTCTAATTCGTGCAAACAAGGATCAAAATAATTTGGTAATGTTAATTTTACGAAGCTGATGTTGATTAGGATGTAACGTGTATACGTGCAGTGAGTATGCATAAGACATGCAATATTTATAAATTTTGTCTCTAGTTTATCCTTCATCGTGGAAAAGATGAATTTCATTTATTTCTAACATTTATATCATTGCTTGGTTGTTTTTAATGTTTTTCTACTATCATTATATCCTATTTTATTTTCTATTGAAGAGGTGTATGTCTAATAGCATCCTTCTCGTATATATGTTTACATAGTATTATAATCAGCCCCTAAATCAATTAGATTAGCCATGTTATGTCCTTTTCGCCTTCCTCTACACGCACCAGATAATTTCATGCATCAAAGTGAGCATTTTACAAGTTTGTGCACTAGATTACACCCCACCTGACAAGTTCATGTACCGGCGATGCATTTACTCAAAAAATAATAACACCGTAATAAAGGCGTAAACTTATAAGGGAACGTGAAAGTTAGTAGGAAAACAATACTATAGAGACAACTCTACCCCAAAAGGTTAAGGTTATCCTTCCCTCTATGTTTTCTTTCTTTTTTTAAGAGAGAGAGAGAGCTGGGTGCACAATGATCAGCTCAACAAAGAAGCTAGATTATATAGCGGGAGGACATTTCCACAGGTGGCCGGTTTATGGAGCCGCTTGTGAAAATGTTTCCTTAAGCGACACCACGAAGGCCACTTGTGAAAATTTATCTGTAGTTTTATCTATTTTTACAAGGCGGGCATAAACAAATCAGTGATAATGGCATAATAAATTTACACCGATGCCCTAAGACACTCTAGGATCAAACTTATCACATAAGGCATGAAATGACAGCCCAATAGGGGTGGGGGTGGGGGTGGGGTGGGGCTCATATTATTGCACTTTATCTTCCATTAACGCCATATATATGCAATATGAAAATGGACTCTAGTACAGCCAGTATGTAAAAGCCAACGTAATAATTAAAACGTCTTATAATACTCTATTTCAAAAGAAAAAAAATCCCAAAGCGTCCTACAAAGATTCTTTAGTAAATTTAGTCCAAGATTAATTCGGGGGAGGGTCGTAACCAAGATTCGGCGTTTGATTTAGTCCAAGATTAGGTAGGGTGGGACTAACTGTGTATGGTCCTCGTCTTTTGTGAAACATGGATTTTAGGACAAAGCAGGTGATACAATATGAACAGATATAAAATAATTTTCCACATATGAAAGGGATATATGCAAGCACGTGAGGATTCGGTTTATAGCACAAAACTCATACTCTGTAGTAGTAGAATTTGTTTTAAAAAAAAGTCAAATTAATTACAAGTATATTAGTTGTCCGTCCCTTCACTGGTGAAGAAAGGGGCTTTACTCCCGGTTGAGAACCCCCCTATAGTCCCGGTTATACAACCGGGACTACGAATCCGGGACTAAAAATACCCATCTTTAGTCCCGGGTAAAATAACTGGGACTAAAAATTTATCTTTACCAACCGAGACTAAAGATGGTAGGAGCAGTCCCGGTTGTTTTTTTTTTCTCAAATCGATCTGCTCCCCAAATATCCCCGATCATATTCCCAAATCATCCCCAAATCCATATTCCCAAATCAAAGTAGCATCACAGATCTATAAAGAAATACATCACATATTGGAAAGAAATGCATCACAGATCACAATACAGCACATCACAAAATCTCAAACAAAAAATACATCACAAATCCTAAAAGAAATACATCACAACTCCCAGATTAGATCCAATATCACATACATCACAGATCAAATCCAATGAATCAAAAATTCAAAAAAAATCGGCACCAGAGAGGAGGGCGCTGCCGGCCTCCCGTTCACCATCCTTGCGGCCTCCGCGTGAGCTCGGCTAGCCGGCCGCCGCGCCAGCCCGCCTGCGCGCCGCGCCCGCCCGCCCGGCCGGCCGCCGCGCCCGCCCGCCCGGCCAGCCGCCGCGCCAGCCCGTGCCGCGGCGGCCCACCCGGCCGGCTGCCACACCTGCCCGCCCGCCTGCCGCACCCAGACGGCCTGCGGCCGCCGCTCCCGCCGGGCGCCGCTGCTCCCGCTCGGCCGCTGCTCAAAGAGGGGAAGAGGAGGAACAAGAGGGGAAATGGGAGAGGAAGGGGATGAAGAGGGAGAGGAAGGGATGGAGAAGGAGCAATGAGAGGGGAGGAGATCGAGAGGAGTGCGCGGATAATAATTGAGTGGCGCGCGGTTCGGAGTACTCTTTACTCCCGGTTCTTTAGTCCCGGTTGTTTATACCAACCGGGAGTAAAAATAATTGGTATAAACAATTATTTTTGTGGCGTGGGGATAATATCTGGCGCGCGGTTCGGGGTACTCTTTACTCCCGGTTGGTATAAATAACCGGGACTAAAGATCTGTTTTTAGTCTCGTTGTTTATACCAACCGGGAGTAAAAATAATCGGGGTCTGTCTTGAACCTCTCAACTTCTTGAACCGGGACTAAAAATAAACTTTAGTCGTGGTTGGTAACACCAATCGGGACTTAAAAATCAAAAAGTACCCCTCAACTTTTAAACCGGGACTAAAGATGCTTTTTAGTCCCGGTTATTATTAGAACCGGGACTATTGTGGAATTTGGCCGACCGACCAAAGATGATTTCTCCACCAGTGCTTATCCGCTAGATTTTGCAAGATGTGCTAGGAGTTGGATCCTGTTGATAAATACAGCGGGCACACAATCATAACGAATACATGCCACACGAATTAACAAACGAGGAAAGCAAAACATGACGAGAGAATACTTTACGAGGAGTGGATTTTGATCTCTCGGAGATCGGATGTCCTCTCGTTATTTTGATGTCACTTAAATAGTTATAAAAAAATTAGAGAAAATATGTATATATTAACGTGTGATATATCACTACACAAATATACAAGTTCAAACTTAACTTCTACATTTCGCAACGAAAAAAATAAATTGGCTGAGAATATACGTTAACTAGTTGTATTTAATTTGTTTTCTTTGTTGCGAGCTGTAGAAGTTGAATTTGATCGTGTTTTTGGAGTGATATATCATATGTTAAAACAACGAGGGGACGACATCCCCTCGAGAGGGATCAAAATAGTTTCTGTTTCCCCTACTCAGGTCAATGTGTGTGCGCACAATTATATAACGGTGTGTTCTCACGTCAGAGTTGGGCGCACTAACACAATAAGCCCTCACACATTTTGAGCAGACATCATATCCAAACTTACTAAACCATTTCGGCTACGATCGAGAAAGTGCAAGCGACGGCTGGCACCTGGTTCTGGTTGTGGTGATCCATGGAGGCAAATGCTCCTGCTGTACTGCCCATGGACGCCAAACTGATGGTGGCCACAGCCCATGGCGACTGCCAGCAGCTGAAGGATGTCGTGAACAAGGAGGATGCTGCCATGATGGTGCTGGTGATGGCGTCAAGCAACGGCACGCCGGCTTCCGCCGCGGCGGCAAGTCCTCCGGTGGCCATGCATCCGCTGCTGCACGCCTCAGCTTCCTCCGGGGATTGGAAGGGTGTGAATTTTCTTCTCAACAGGGAAGAAGCATATGCAGATTCATCTGTTCAGCCCAGTAAAAAGTTTCTGAAGTCCCTAGAAGCATGCATCCCCGGCAACTGCACCAACGGAAGGTTGCCGACTCCGCCGCAAGCTTCTAATGACATAGAAGAAGGTGCAAACATGCCATTGTTGTTGTCTCCCGAGTCGCTTCTGGAGGGTGTCACCATCGAGGGAGACACTGCGCTCCATGTGGTGGCCACACATGGGGATGGCCACAACTACTTGAAATGTGTTGACACAATCTGTGCCAAGGGCAAGCACCTCCTGTTTAAGCCAAACAATAAGGATGATACACCCTTGCACTGTGCTGCCAGGGCTGGGAATCACGAAATGGTCAATAAGCTTATTGGTCTAGCTATTGGACCTAGTAGAAGGGAGGAAAGTGTTGACAGCATAGCGAATAACCTGATCCTTAGAAGTGATAATCTTTCTACAGAGACATTCTTGAGCGATGATGTCCGTGTTGCAGATAATCTTACAGTCGGAGATAGTATTAGCATAAGTGAGGACAATGTCCACAGGGGAGTGGAATATCTCAGAATGGAAAATGACAGTAATGAAACGGCCTTGCATGCGGCAATTCGCATTGGTCATAGTCCTATAGTAACGGAGCTATTGACATATGATTCTGAATTGGCGCTATTTCCGCAAGAAGGCACATCACCATTGTACCTAGCTATCTTGCTGAAGCAATTTGACATCGCGCGGACATTATACCAGATGAGTAGACAAAATATTCTCTCATATTCTGGGCCAAGTGGACAAAATGCATTGCATGTTGCAGTTCTCCGAAGCAGAGGTAATCGACAAGTTTTAGATGCCCATTCTATTTGTTTACTATGTTGGTTCTTTTTTACTTGATGATTTGGCCAATGACACAAACCTCCGATGGACAATCATCATTATTTTTAAACTGCATATTTATAAAAATTATTACAACTATAACATATGAAAGTTTTTTTCATGAAAAATCTACTTCTACGACTTTTACATGTCAAATCCTTCTATTTGTACCGTTATTAATGATTAAAACCTTCGAGGTAGTATCTACGAGGGGATGACGGTGTTAAAAACATGCCTATCTCTAGTGCTAGAAAAGACAGCATAGCAGTACTATGACAAACACCAAATATGTAACATCACTACATACGAGGGATTTTCCTGCCTACCCTGGTACCTACAGGGGTTAAATTAAGTAGAGAACTAGCACATATGAAACTCAATATGTGTTGGTGTTGTTATAAATATGACAATTGTAAACTTATACATATACCTGAATCATGTTTGCATATTGTCTATCATACGGTGAGATGTCTGTGAAATGAACCGAGAGATTTTTATACAAGTTTAGACCCTTCTCAGAGTAATGTACCCCTATATCATGTTGAATAAGATTACTAGATGAGTTATCAAACGTATTTAAAAAAAGTCAACAGTGTCATAAATTAAAAACAGAGGTAATATATATGCATTTCTGCATGAACTTAAGAACACAGGAATTAGTCCAATTCATTACTTGGATGCTCACAAGAAACTCATGCGGATTTTAGAGGGAAAATGTTGTTAGAATATCTTTCTTTCTTGTTTCAACGAGCATGTACCAACACAAAGTTACCATTTACAGGAATGACCAAACAGCTGTTGGGGTGGAACAAGAACCTTACTATGCAAGGGGACAAAAACGGTAGTACTCCTCTTCACTTTGCCTCGTCTCGTACGATTGACAACAACAATTGGAACTATCCCCACCGTATATATCCGCTGGTTTCGTGTTCCATGTCCACGTCATCGAGTTGTGAGAGAAGTAATCCAAGCTAATGGAGCTCCACTGTACCAGCCAGACATCTATGGGATGTTCCCCATACATATTGCTGCCTCAGTTGGTGAGAAACGGACCATCGAGATTTTTGTTCAGAAGTATCCCAGCAGTGCTGGCCTGCGCGATAAAAGAGGAAGAACATTTCTTCATGTTGCTGTTGAGAACAGGAGAGTGAATGTAGTCGGCTATGCTTGCAGAAATCGGTCGTAAGCATGGATCCTGAATATGCAAGACAATAATGGGAACACTGCGCTGCACCTAGCTGTCGAGGCTGCGAATCTTCAAATGTTTTGTTCGCTATTTGGCAATCGGCAAGTGCAACTAAATGTAGTAAATGTAAAAGGCCAAACTCCTAGAGATATATCACATGATCAAATTCCTCCAGGGCTACATAATAATCAGGTAATTTAAATTCTTCTTTTAGAAGTACTACTTTCGAGATAAACGATAATTGAATACTGATTTCACTTCCTAACAAAATTGATTAGTTTCCTTATTTTTCAGAGCACCGAAGAAATGGTACGCTTTGTATTGACACAAGCTGGTGCTATGAATGACAGTTGCCGCCACGATCACTTTAGAGAAAAACACAAAGACACTCACAACCTAAAATCAGATAGTGAAAGCAAAGAATTAGAAAAGCTAAAGGACGCAACGGAAACAATGGCCATTGGCTCAGTTCTAATAGCAACTGTGACGTTCGGTGCAACTTTCGCATTGCCCGGAGGTTACAGAGCAGATGACCACTCAAACGGTGGCACACCAACACTTGTTGGGAGGTATGCTTTTGATTCGTTCATGATAGCCAATACGCTCGCTTTCATTTTCTCCTTGATTTCCACAACTAGTCTCTTGTATTCTGGAAGTCCGTTGATTAACAAGCAAAGCCGTGCAGTCTTCTTAGAATCAGCCTTCTACTTTATGAAGACTTCGATCACATGTTTGGTCGCTACCTTTACACTTGGTATGTATATGGTGCTATCTCCGGTTGCTCGTAGAACTGCCATTGTCGTATGTGCCTTAAGTCCCCTTGTAGTGCTGTGCAACAGCATTCGCTACTGGGTAAAACGGCTGGTTCTGGCGCCATCGTGTATTGTCAGAATGGGGCCAATTTGGACATTGGGATTTCTTGCAATCACCATTGTATTTTATTCGATAATGGAATTTTGGCCGCTAATATTCATCTTTGCTTGGGCGGCACATGGAAGGAACCACACCTAGCTTCTGAAACATAGCCAGTCAACGTGGGTATGAAACAGATGATCAGCACTATCCACTGTGTATATATGTTCTTTCTTCTGGACGTGAGTCGTGTCTGACTCCTAGAATTTGGCTTCGTCTGAATTATACTGTTCTCAAGCGTGTGCTCTCTTGAGTGTTTTCTTATGTCATTCATATCTGAGGCCCTTTGGGCCCATAATAAGTACTCCTATGCGGCTATGATGTAAACGTCACGCTTTTTCATTGAGGTGTAAACAAACATTGTACTTCTAATTGAAATTTTAGAGAATGCATGTAACTGTTAGGCACTGTGTTAGCCTACTGTAAAATGTTTAATTGAACTGTTGTCATTTGTGAAATATGTATAACTTCTTTTGGAAATGGATAGCAAAACCAATGAACTAGGTGAAACCCCGCGCATTGCTGCGGGAATTTAGTATCATAACAATAAAAAAAATAATGTGTAAGATAGCTAGATAACATCAGATTAAGTAAATTAATGTGGTTTATGATAATTTAAATTTAAATAGTATGTAGAATGGTGATTCAAACATAAAAAGTAAAGTGTTATGACTTTATGGAAGAAGAAAAATAGGGAGATAGTTTGAACCGTAAATTAATCATCTAAAGGTTAAAAACAATTGATGTGATATGACTTAATTAGAGAAAAAAAAGGAGAAAAATAATTTGGACCATAGATTAATCATTTAAACACTAACTAACTAAGGATGAACTATATAAGTAAATAGAATATCATAAAACATAATAAAGATATGCGTTGAAACATTATGTGAATTATGTTGGATGATAATTTCACATGTTTGTATTTGAAAAGCTCATAAATTATAAAACTATAAAGATATAGTATGTTTACATGATGTTTAAATGTGATGATTGTTAGTAGATGATGATGTGGCATCATCTTTGCACGTTAAGCTTAAGAAGTTAGTGGGGGATAAGTTTATAGTGAGATAGGATTAAGTAGTTACTCATGCACTTCCCTGGTAGCACAGCACGGAGGAAAAGGCGGCCCGCCACTTCGCTGCTCGCTCTCTGGTCAGGACTTACTGGCGAGATTGCTCCTCACCTTGGGCAACCAAGCCGCCGCCTTCTCTCTCTCCCACCGCCATCCTCGCTTCGACCCGCTGAAATTCCCCACCCTCGGCCTTCAATCCACTGATCCGTCGCCGCCTTTGAGTCCGCCATCTCCCCACGACCCCATTTCACCCCTCCTCGACGCCCAATCGTCGCCGGAGCCAAAACCCCCAAATTCCAGTCACCGCCGTCCGCCGTTGCCCGTCGGCCCGAATCCCTCGTCGCCACCAAGGTAGCGCGTCCCACTTCCAATCTTTCCCTTCGTCTCACCGTGCAGCACATCCCCACATCCTTCCCGAGCCCCCTCCGCCACCAATTCGGCCGCTGCCGGCGACCATTTATCGCGCGGCCGGAATCTACCGCCGCTGCCTTCGGTGCCTCGCCGCCGGCCGCCAGCGACTCCCATGTCCCGAATCCAAGTTGTTCATCATGTTCCCCGTCCCTTGATTCCGTGTACATCTTCCTCCGGCGAGCCGCCATTCGCCGGTTCACCTTAGAGCGCTGCCGGCTGTGGATCGGGAACCGGGTCAAACCCGCCCAGTCCGTGCCGTCGTGCAGCCCCATGTGGCGATCGCGTTAACAGCCGCGGCCCTCTCTCGGGCCAGGCCGCGCCACTCATGGGCCGCCTTCAGCCCGTCTCCTTTCAAGTCTATCCATACCCTCCAGAAGTCCTCGGTCCAATATAGGGATAAGTTCACTTTTTAACCCTCAAAAGTGATCGAAATCTAATCCATGATCCTAAACTCTTAAAACCGGTGCAATTTGACTCCCTTGGTGGTTTTGAAAGACAGTTTTGCTGACGTGGCGCCTATGTGGAAGTATTGACCGGGTCTCCTTTACACGTGGTGTTGAAGTGGCATTTAGAATTAAAAAATATGTGTGGGACCCATTTTTCATTGATACATAAAAGAAATTGTGGGACCCACGTGTCCCTTCTCTCTCCGCTCCCTCCTCGCCGCTCCCCCTCTCTCTCCCGTGACGGGCGGCGAGGACCGGAGCGGCGGCGGGCGGAGACGGCGGCGAGCGGCGGAGGCGCGGGTGTGGCGTGGCGGCCTGCGAGCAGCAGAGACATGGGAGTGGCGGCGGCAGGCACTGGAGTGGCGACGGCGGTGGCGCCTGGGCTGAGCTCCACCGCCTCCTCACCGACGGTGACCAGGCGTTGGAGCAGGAGGACGGCGGGCGGCGGCAAGACAAACAAGCAGCAGCAGATCGCCAGGAGCGGAGGCGGCGGCGGCCGTGGTGGTACATGGTCCAGATCAATGTCAAACGATGGCTACACAGGAGGACCATGCTGCTTCTGAGAGACAATGGCGGCATGAATTCACTGTGCGAGGATAGGTACATCAAGCTCACATGCCTGGGCACTCATCGCATCCTCATCCATTACGCCAGGCAGATGCAGTGCTTGTACTACAACGTCCTCATGAACGAGGTTGGGATGGATAGCTGGGAGGAGTACACCGAGCAGGACAGGGAGGATGTCCGGGCGCTGATAGACAAGATCGTCGATCTCTGCCGGAGTTCGATTCCCAGGCCGCCGCACGACGTGAGCAGCGTCGGATCGTCGTCGACGACGACGCTCGCTGCCGGAGCTCCATGTGGTGTCGCGTGTTTGAACGGGGGTATCACATGGTTCGCCCCAGTTGCATGCCGTCAGAGCGTTTGCTTTCCTCGCCCGCGTCCACCCTTTTCCGCGGCGAGGAGGCGCGCGGTGGAGCTCAGTCCGGGTGCCGCCGCCGTCGCCGCTCTAGTGCTTGCCGCCGCCACTTCCGCGTCTCCGCCGCTCGCAGGCCGCCACGCCACGCCCGCGCCTCCACCGCTCACTGCCGTCTCCGCCCGCCGCCGCTCCGGCCCTCACCGCCCGCCGCGGGAGAGAGAGAGAGAGGGAGCGGCGAGGAGGGAGAAGGAACTGGTGGGAGCTGAGAGAGAAGGGACACGTGGGTCCCATAATTTCTTTTATGTGTCAATGACCAATAGGCCCCACACATATTTTTTTAATGCTAAATGTCACATAAACGCCACATCATCGCCACGTGTAAAGGAGACCCAGTCAATACCATTATGTAGGCGCCACGTCAACAAAATCGCCCTTCAAAACCGTCAAGAGAGTCAAATTGCACCGGTTTTAAGAGTTCAGGGGTCGAGATATCCGGTTTTTTGGTTTAGGGTTACGGATTAGATTTTGATCACTTTTGAGGGTCACAAAGTGAACTTATTCCTCCAATATACGTTTTAACCTCCCACTCCAAACCAAAAGTCTATTTTGTCTCCTTCGACCGAATTCCTATTTGTACCAAAGCGTAAGAAAGTCTAGCCGACCTCCCTCAACACCCTCTCAGCCCAAGGAATATTCTTTACTAAATATAAATTCTTTTCCCAATATCCAGAAAATACTTCTATCTTCAAAAAGTCATATATTCAAAACCGTAGCTCCGATTGACCCTGTTTCAGTCTCCAATTCTTCCTTAAATTGATATCTACAAAATGGATCTATTATTTATTAATAGTATCTCCTTTTTAGGGTTTTGTGTGGTTCTCTCTCTTTTGCGATTTGTACTTGTCGCCAGAAATTGTTTTGATCTTGGACCTTCAAGGATCTGAAGACGAAGACTTGAGGGAAGTCACCCTTTGATCGTATTGCTCTCAGTTTGTAAATGTCTTGTTTGCAAAATTGCATAACTGAGTGTGCACGATAGTTTGACCGGCCTCAGTTCACGCGACAAATCGATAGAACTACCCAATAGTTGCATTATACTCATATGTTGTTGTTAACCCTCATCCTTTGCCGCTTCATCCTCGTGGTACCTCGGTAACCGTGCTCTCTGAGTATGGATTCCGATGGTTCCACTCCCATGACACGTGTTCGTCGATATGGTAAAAAAGGGTTTGCGAAACCTTTTAAAACCCAACACGTACTTTTGGTGTGTTTGCGAAATAAAAGTTTGCAAAAACCCGCGATGCAAAATGATCACATGTGTGGTGGTGCTTTGTATTCGCAAATAAGGACCGATTCGTTGAAGAATTGCACTGATCATAAATCATAATATAGTGCGACCACATGGGTGTTACGGAACACCCCTAGCCAAGTAATTAGTGGATCTAGGTTCGTTTTGGTTGCTAATAGGAGAGGAGTCGTTATGGCGCGAAGTGAGCGATATACCCACGACCATGGTTGCACGAAATGTTCCGGCTCCCGGCTTTGAAGACTGGAAACCTCATGTGTTTTCCTGTACCAATCCCAGGATTAATAGTTGGTACACACATTTATTGCCAGTACAAAACATATATCAATATGAATTTAGGATAAAGGAGTTTAATACCTTTACAAGGACCAATAAGGTCTTATCCTATCAAATAAACAATAGCGGAAACCAACATAGTAGTAGGCACAAGTAACTTATCCACAAGCAGTTGACTAGGGTTGCACTTGCTACTTAGTTCTCGATCAGCCCTCCGATCATCTGCTAAGTATGCCAGCATATGCTGGCAGAATCTTTCTCTTCTCATGCTATTATGTCTAAAAACGGGGAAATAGCAACGGTGGGTGCATAGAGTACTCGCAAGCCAGTTGGTGGGGGAAATAGTCAAGAATAGTACAGCATTATTAATGCTCATAAGGTTCAAGGAAGGTTAGGGTTCATTTACACAAAGCCAGTTTTTCTAAACCTATAACCTAGCCATTTTAACATAGAAACAATGCCAAGTTTTCTTGTTTAAGCATTCAACAAGGGTTGTATTCACCTCCCCAGGCCTCACTTGGATTGGTTTACCCTCAGGCACACGTATCCATTTTTCTCCCATTGGAGGCTACCCTCACCATAGGTAGTTACACCATTCACCACCCAGTCCCATCCATGCGTTAAGACAGACTAAAGTTTATAAGTCTAGTCAAGAGTAATACAAGTCCCTGCGCTTATTTAACCGCGAGCATGGTTATTTGAATAGATTGGTTTAGTCACACTGCAGTGGATATACACTTTACCCGCACTCCGTGACGTGCCCAACACATGAGAAGAGTCACGACCCAGTCTTTCGGGTCTCTTAAGATTGTGGTACCCGCTCCATGAACTTTGCGCCCTAGTCAACTACCTCGCTTCGCAAACCAGAAGTGAGGTGAGTTCTAGCATTCCCGGGATTCTAAGGGAAGAAGTCTTAGGCACAATTAGTCCAATTTTAGTGTTGGATTTCACGCTCGCCGTGAATTCCTCGTGTTTTGCTCTCTCACACGACCTACATTATTATGGTTTTGAACCAC